AGTTTCTTTTGTGATTTAACTATTACATTTTTATTATGGCTAAAAGGAACTATTAAAAGTTTGATAAATTGAATTTGATAAATTGAATGAAGATATGGAACTAATAAGAAGAAAAAAAACGCATAGACCAAACAAAATGCCACCAGGATGAGAAACTAAACGATTAACCCTTCTTAATAGTAGATTACATTTTTGTCGAAGTTTGAACATTTATTAATTTTTTATTACATACTATTTAGTCTCCCCAATATTTTGTAGGTAGCATGTTCCTCATTTCCATCTTTAAATTAGTCTCCCGAATTTTTTAAAGGGGACATGTTTCTCGTGTAGCATTCCAACTACAAGTTTGTATTTTAGTATGCACACATATCAAGAAACTGCATTTTTTCAAACAAGTGATTAATTATTTATTAATTTTACTTGTTCATGGTAAATAAAGGGTTAGACTGTTTATATCCTATTTATAGTCAAACAATACCCCTTAATTATTACATTTTTGTTGCCTTAAAAAACCATATAAATAATTATTTTACCTTTTTGGTTATAATTATCATTCATTTCAATCATTTCATTTTTATATTTTAATATATATTAATATATATTGGGTATTTTTTTCTTTTTATAATTTGGACCTATTCTCAATCCAATTGAAAGTGTTAAGGCTAATATCATCAGCCAAAAACCTTGTAGCTCGCCTTTTGGATCTGAAAACAATTGAATTCTTTTTCTTCCAAATCATCGACAAAGTCACATAAATAAGAAACAATTGCAGCTTTCGAGAATTTCTGCATCCAAAACTCGTATCTAGCATTACCATTAAATTTAAGCAGGAAACAAGTTGTTTTTTAAAAATACATGACGTCCAATTCACCAACCATTTCCATAATCTGGATGTAACCCAGCAAGAGAAAAAAATGTGATCTAGACTCACCTCATCATTCCGGAAAAAAGGACACATTTGAAAAAACAACAATCCCAAGCTTCAATAAATTTGACAAAATAAGAATTCTATTTCTCATCAGACGCAACATAAAACAATTCACCTTTAATGGGATCCACTTCACCCATTCGAATGGAATACCAATGTCATCATTTCAAACTCTAATAAAGAGCTTGACAGCCTTGACCAAGAAGAAATCATTATAATCCCCATTCCATAACCACCCATCACAAATATTAGCAAACTGAAACTCATTTAAGACTTTCATTAAAATGGATAATTGAACAGTTTCTCTTCCTCATCTAAGCTGTTGAGAACAACTCCAATTCCATCTTAAATCTGCTCCAATATCCATATTTACTCTCTCCATGACAAGACAATCTTTATTTGTTTCCAAACTATATAAATTAGGACACAAATCCTTCAAAGCAACATCACCACACCATGTGTCCTTCCAAAAACATGTCTTATCCGCAACACCCACCACTCTTTTAAACAAATTGCTCAATATAACCCATTTATCAATCAACTCCATGTCAATTAGAGATATATTAAGGCAAACACCTTTAATAGATTTTTTTGCTAAAGGTCTTCCATCAGTAAGTTTAAGATTATGAATAGACTTTATAAAAGAGAACCAAAAGGAATCATACTCATTGTTTAATCGCCACCACCATTTGGCAAGAAGCGCCAAATTGGCTAAGTTAAGACATCCCACACCAAGATCACCTTGATTCTTCGGTTTAATCACCAAATCCCAAGCCACCCAATTGATCTTTCATTTATTCTCATCACTCCCCACAAAAAAACTTCTTCTAATGTCGTTGAGTAGATAAATAACCTTATTTGGAGCTCTAAATAGAGAAAAATAATAAATAGGTAAACTATTGAACACCAAATTAACAAGTGTAAGACGACCTCCAAAAGAAAGCGTTTTTTCTTTCTAAATGGATAATTTTTTCTTAAACTTGTCAATAACTGGACTCCAATTTTTTGACAAGTTTCATTTTGGCACCCACCGAAAGGCCAAGATACACTGAAGGAGAACATCCAGGTTCACACATTAATATGCTAGCAAGTCTATTCACTTCCAAATCAGTAACACCAACTCCATATACTTTACTCTTACGCAAATTTACTTTCAACCCCAAGGTAAGAAAAAGGCAACGAAGTATTCTATTAAGATTCACAAAATTAATTTCTGGCCATTCGCCAATAAAAGTCACATCATCGGCATACATAAGATGTGAAAGAGCCTTACCAATATTAGGAAAATAAAGCGCGTGAAAGTAATGAAGGTTGCAAGTCGCCTCCACAGAAACATGTAAACCTTCCATTGTAATAATAAAGAGAAACGGGGCCAAGGGATCACCTTGTCTCACACCTCATTTAATATCAAACTCTTTAGTTTGTGAAACATTAACTAACACCGAGGCCCCATTAAAAGAGAGATAGTGTCTAATACATCTTCTCCACTTCAATCCAAACTCCATTTGCTCCATGACCGAATCCAAAAACTTCCAACTTAAAGAATCAGAAGCCTTATTGAAGTCGACTTTAAAAATAAGAGTTTTGTCTTCATGTTTTAAGCCCAAGCAACAGTTTCATTAAGCAAAAGAGGCCCATCCAAAACACTTCTACCCCTCATGTAGATCTTTTGCTCGGGACTTATAATCTTATTCAACACCTTTTTCAACCTGTTGGCAAGTACTTTGGAGATTACTATAAACAAACATCCTACAAGATTGATCGGTCTATAATCTTTCAAGAAAACAAAGGATCCCTAACTTTTGGAATTCAAGATATGAAGGAAGAATTACACCCACCTGACAAAACACATGAGCATTCAAAGTCTTTGACAAACATAACAACATTCGTTTTAATCAAATCCCAATATTGCTTCAAAAAATTTAAAGTAAATACATCAAGAGTCGATGCCTTTTCATTCCCACAACACCACACAGCCTTTTTTTACTTCAATTTTAGAGAATAAAACAATTAGAGATTTTTTCTCATCGTTCGAAAACTTTTTGAATCTATCGCTTATTAACTTCGGACGATTATACACGGGTTCCTTAAACTCTCATAAAAATATCCCATACCTCATAATGTTATATTAAAACAAAACATCAAAACCAAAATTAATAAAAAAACCAAAGCAAATAAGATAATGTTAAACAATTAAAAAAATATAAAAAAAATTATATATATATATATATATATATATATATATATATATATACTTTTGTGGAAAACGATGTAATTTTTTTTCTATCTCCACTTAAAAAAAATAAGGCCGATGATCCGTACATCATATTTTTTAAAGATAAAAAATAAATTATACTTTATACAAATGTACAGTACAATCATTTGAAACATAAATTATAGTTTATGGTTAAAAAGAGTTTTGTACAAATCACTAACCAAAAAATAAAATGGTTATTATAAAAACCCCAAACCTCTTTAAAACTCCTCCCTCCCCCTTATACTCGTACTTTCAAAATAACCTTTTCCTTTCCCCTTTTTAATTGTTTTATTATTATTATTATTATTATTATTATTATTATTATATATATATATATATATATATTACATCAATTAATTTGAATTATTTAATTTTATCTTATGACTAAAATTTAATTTTATTATTTTGAATATATTTTTAATAAATCAATTATTTTTCTTATTTTTGATGTGTATTAGAATCGAGTTATGAATGAGAAATCAATCATAGTAAAAATACGTCGAGTAAATAAGATCTGATTAGCTCATTAATGTATGTAAAGAGAACACAAGTTTCAGAGAGATTACAATAATGACCGGCGCAAAAAATACTCTCAACCCTTATACCTACCCTATTTATAGGGTGTTACAGACGAACAAAAAATACAAGTGCTAAACGTTAAAGTTCGAATTCGACTTGTGCATTGCAAATACATATGCTTCGAAATCATCTTGATTTTGAAACCTAAAAGACTTAGACCTATTTCAACTTTTCACTATTTACATTTCGAATCCTACAATCTTTCCCTTAGTGAGAATAGACAAAATCATGTTATCTTCTTCAGAGTCTGTAGAATTACATTGCGAATCTCCATATAACAAGGTATCGACTTTCGAATCTCAGCCTTTTCATCAGCTTCATTCCTTTTGTAATTTTTGATTCGAATAAGAATACTTGTATAATGAGAATTTGTATACCTCTCCATGTCACATACTTGAAACAAAAACTTTGACAACTTCCTGTTCTTGTTCTTCCCTTAAAAGACCACACCAAATGGTTGATGTATTATTTCTCTATCTCCAAAATTTTCAATATTATCCTTCCCTTTCAACAATGACTAAGGTACCTTCAAAGTCTTGTTAATAGCCATAGCAAGATCAATATCAATTATTTCTAGCCAATCATAGTAGTTATCTACGAAAACCTTAATTAAGAAAAACCAATAATGAAATCATTCTTATTCGAGTCTAGCAGCTTCTAAGTATCAAAATTGCTCAAAATCTTTGTCACTGTCACCAAATCATTCAAGTTCATAAGAGAAAAGCTAGCAATCAAAAATTAACACACCACGTTGTTGGCCCTCAAAACGATATATCGAAAGCTTTGTAAAAGGCCTTCGAATAGGTTTTCTTGAGTAATGGACATCATTTTCACAATTCTTACATATGACCACACTTCTTCTTCGATTTTCCCTAATTCAGCATGAAATCACATATTAAGTCTTTTGAACTCATCTTTATCTTTGAAGTTTTCTGCCATTTTAAAATCACAAGAAGTAAACAACATATGATTCACGGGGAAGTCAAACGTATTGAAATATGAGTTCTCAATATCATAACTCTTTTTCGGTGCTTTGCAAAAGTAGTCGTTCATCCCAATCGAAATTATATCTTCAATGGTCTCATAACACTACTACTTGTTGCGATCACCCTTATTCAAGCCAGGTGGGTCATTTTGCCTTCACCTCATTATGCTGTTTAGTTTCCTTTGCTTGTCAATCTCCAAGGCCTGTTGCTTTTTCTTTTCCTCTTCAGAAAGAGTCTTCACAATACCTTTTCATTTATCACCTTGATCATCTTTCGAAGATGGTGGAATTGAACTCGAACTTGAACCTCCATCTCTTTCATTTATAATGATCCCTTTTGTGATTGGTCTTCTTGTGGTTATTTTTGAAGTTGTAGTTAACGAAATAGGAAGTGAAGTGGATATTTGTATCAAAATCACTTCTACAACCACTGCTCCTTTTTTAGAATCTTTCAAAGACCCGACAACACCATATCCTTTATCTCCCACTTGCGACACTTGCACAGCAGAAGGAGCATTTGTTGGTAACCCAAGGACCAACTCAAGGATGGGTGTGAGCTCAGTTTTGATATTTGTCTTAATCTTCAAAATCAAATGAGAAATTGACTCCTGAGACATGCTTAACTAAGTTGAAAAATCAAATTTTGAAATGGACTCCTCAATGCTTGATAAAAATTCCTCCAATTTGGTAAATACATTCAAATCCTACTCCTATTTCGATTCAAGATTGGTTGAATAAGAATTATTGAATTCAACCAACTTCCCAATAGAATTAGCAACAACATCAACTTTAATATGCAACAAAGTATAATTCTACTCCATTTTCTCAACCTTTTTTGCCATTTCTGACTTAAGTTCAGCCCCCTGAAGATCAACAGACTCTTTCATCTTCGTTACTTGTTCGATAAAAACATCATGACGCTCCTTGGCCACATCACGAAGCTTTTGAATTTCATACTCAAAGTTCTTTGAATGAGCATACAACCATTCAACTTGTTTCTCTTTAATGCATTCAACCAAGGTGCAAAGACAATTATCTTGCGACTTTAACAAATACTCCATCTCTACTCCAAAAAGAAATTTCCTTCCCCCAGTATCTGCTGGAATTTGGAAAAGATTATTGAGTTTAAAATTAAGGATTTTGAAATGTTTACCAGACATTATCATGCTGTCAGGAACATTTTCCTCTTCTGCTGAAGATTAGCAAAAAAACCATCACATCATCAGCATTCAGTTCGGCGTCTAGAATGTCTTTCTCTGCATCAATGGATTAAGATGAGAAATGATTATTAATGGGTTCACGCATAATGGTGGAGTAAGTTGGTGAAATGGTTGATACAGGAAGTGAAGTTGGGATCGGTGATGAAAATGGTGGTAACGAAGTAGATATGTCAATGGTTGAGGTTTCGATGGTAGAGATGATGGAGTAGGAGTGGTTGATGTTTCAAGAGTTGAAGTAACATGAGCTTCTTTCTTCGACACCCCTTCACCTATATTGACATTTATGTCCATATTAGTTATGTGCACAGTGATGTTTGGAGTTTGAACCTCCTTCGTATGGGAATCGGTTTGCGAAACCTCGGGTGGTATGACCTTAGTCTACTCAGAGATGGATATCAATGTGTGATCACTCGAATTAGTGTTTGTATCCATATTAGATACATTTAAATTGACATCAGGATCTCCTGTTTGCTCAAAAATTGATTTGATAGGAGAATCCCTTCGAGGTGGCCTAAGCCTAAACTCTTCATAGCGATTATCCCCACTTTCACTGTCATTATCTGTTTCGACGGTGACTTGATCAAATGGATCTTGACTTGTAACGCCCGTAGATCCGGGCTAGTCAGTTTAAAGATAATAGGGGTCGAAAACGACTTTTTGACAAAAGATTATTTAGAATAAATAATCTTAACCAAGTTGTAGAATATGTCTCAAGGGTTTCATACATATAAAGAGTGCCAGAATCCGAGTTATAACGAAGAAGTTATGACCCGTCGAAGTTTAGCGACGGAATCGACACGACACCGCGAAGACGTAAATAGTGAATTTATGATTGAGCGACTTTCAGCCTTAGTAATATAAATGAAATTCATAGAATATGTTAACCTGAGAACGTCCATAAAAAGAACGCCCCAATCTGACTTCGTATGAGTAAGTTATGATTTTTTGAAGTTTCGGCTTAGCGGTGTACAGCCCGAAGTTCGAGTATTAGATCGACCGGTTTTTAGCCGACACAACCTAAACGAGAATCGAAGATCTCATTATTAGTAGCGTAACGATAAAAAGAAAGACGAAAATGGACATCGGATGAACAAGTTATGACAGTTTAACGGACCAATCCTGTCCCGGCCTACTAAAAATATAACTTTTAAAAAAAAGTCAAAATTAGCCGACAGAGTCAAAACAAAAGTTGTAGACTACGTCTCCACCTACGCGTGGATATAAAGAACATCAAAAACAGAGTTCGTATGAACGAGTTACAAATTATAATAACATATTTACGTATTAAAATAAAGTATAAATCATATATACGTACACACACACACACACATATATATATATATATATACATATGTATATATCATTAGAAAGATATCAACGATGCAGTCATTATAAGACTAATGTTGATTTCTTTCGATATTAGTTTAGTACAAATATCATTAAATCTATTTAAAATAGTATTATGAAGGGATGTTTAGTCGCTTATATAACTATAAGGTCATTAAGTAATTATGGAGGGTAGTTTTGGTAAATTCAATTACTATAACTAAGAGGTTTGGGCTCTCATATTTCTTGCACCATTATCTTGACTCAAGAGTCTTTCTTTTCTTATCCCCCGAGCATTTCGGTCCCTTGTGATTCGACTTCTCTTTCTATAGTTTTAGTATAGTAAGGTGAGCGTTGAAGCGCTGCACAAATCTTTCTTAGAAAGATTCAGCGACGAAATTCTGCCCCTGCAGAACCCGACTCCTAGCTAAAATCCCCTTGTAAGTAAGTTATACTTACCATATTTTAAATATAGTTTATATTTAAAATTAGTATTGTTATTATAAATTTATAATAAATATTTGAGCTATTATTATGACTTATATAAGTGTCGTTATGATATTTTTTAAACTACTCGCAGTACGGGGAATCTGGTTTAAAAGGCCGCATAGGGTTTTTGGATTTCAGAAGTGCAATACGCCAAAATGGTCATGTCCTCCGGTGTTTTATGTCTGGCCCCTGTCTGTACATAGTGGATGTAAAGTATTGTTTAAACGCTTATATAATAATAATAATAAGACTAATAATTAGTCACGGTAAATATTAGACTAAATCTAGTAGTAATAATACTAGGTTTCGTCGGAGGAAATTATTTTAAAGTAAATGAAGCGTTGTCTGAGTACCGAGTCACCACCTTCTTAGGTGAGTGCATAGTTACTTTCATCTTACACATAGATATGAAGTATTTAATATAAATTACATGTTGTGAGTGCATAGTTACTTTCATCTTACACATAGATATGAAGTATTTAATATAAATTACATGTTGTGAGTGCATAGTTACTTTCATCTTACACATAGATATGAAGTATTTAATATAAATTACATGTTGTGAGTGCATAGTTACTTTCATCTTACACATAGATATGAAGTATTTTATATAAACTACGTGCTATGTGTGCATATTATCTTAATACTTGTTGTCTATGTTGGATGAACGTTTTTTTTATACATGTTTTAAATGATTTGAATTGTATACATATTTTAAATATACAAGTATGTTAGGTATGAGATGGGTAGATGAATAATGAGAGATAAAAGATGATGTGAGTAAACATTGGCAGCTACAGACTTAGTACCTAACAAATAGCATCGGCAGCTATGGACTTAGTGCCTATTGGACAAACACTGGTAGCTATGGACTTAGTATCTGATACGAATTGGTAGCTATGGACTTAGTACCTATTAGATAAGCACTGACAGCTATGGATTTAGTACCCAACAGCTATGGAATTAGTGCTTTACGAATGAGCATTAGCAGCTATGGATTTAGTGCCAGTCCTATAACTCTGGAAGCAAAGGACTTTAGAATGAACGAATGCGAGATAGATGACTCTTAGGATAGATCCTTAAGAGTAAAGAAGATAATGTGGATGGGTAATTGGGTCGATTGTTTGATTGTTTAAACATAATAATTATATTATTGTGGGTTGAAAACCCTATGTACTCACCAGGTTTCCCAACCTGACCCACTCAGTTTATTTATATTACAAGTGTTGAGATGAAGTCACATTACACTGAGAGATTAAAGAGATGTAGATCACCAATGTAAATAAATGTAAGTTCTGTTTATGCTTATGTTTCTTTATTGACGGTAACATCCCAAATGTTTTAAAACGAATTAAAAATACTTTTCTTCGAAAATGCTTTGATAACGTATTTATCATGTTTTACTATGAACAAATTCCGCAACATTTTTATTAAAAGAGGTACTCTGATTTTTATAAAGCATAAACAAAATCAGTCTTTTCTGGCCTTGAAAATGAGGATGTCACAGTTGGTATCAGAGCATTAGTTTAAGCCAACTAGGAATATAGATTTTTTTCTAGACTTAAACTTAGAATGCTAAGTGATGATAGTGAGATAAGTGTCTGCTATAATTTAGACACGAGCACTAGTTTATTTTAGGAAAGATTCCTAAAATGTTTTATGTGCTAAATGATTTATGTTATAGCTATAAAGATGCCTTATATGTTATTATTTGTTCGGATTTATGGTCTGTTGCCAACCGGATTTGGAAACCTTATGTGCTCAGGATTCTAAACGTATGATTACAATATTAGAACGCTCATGTAAAGTTTCGGAGTAATAAGAAGATTTATACGTCTATCGTAAATAAAATCTTTCCTATCTTAAATTTTCATCTCGGTACACCGAACGTCTGCTTGGGTGTACAAAACAAGAGGAAGATGACAACCTGAGCCTAAGAATGTGATGGGTCATGCATCGGTCATTGCGCCTACACCCGAACCTATCACAATGGTTGAAGTTCAGGAAGTGATGCGAACCATGATAAACTGAGGAAATAGAGGAAAACAGACGGCTTACGATACTAATACCTATCAGAAGATATAATAAGAGAGGTATCTTGCCTTTAGAATACGTCTGATAAAATAGTAGTACGTCTATAGAAGTAGGGTACATCTGAATGTACACATTTGATTGGCGGGATGATTAAACGATTGATGTGATTCCTAAAGTTTTCTTATCATTTGGAATGTCCATCACCAACCGAGTTGAAGTAGAATTGATGATTGAAGATATGCATGGAAGAAGTCCTAGTAGAGTCTAGGGAAATTTTTATGATTATTTGGACACACTCGTATGTGTTAAATTGTTTCTTGATTTTAGGACTTGGGGACTGGGAGACAATACTTGGGACGAGTATGAGTAGGTGTGAAAGGCAGTAGATGCATATACTACCCAAAGCACATGACTCACACTTGGATCAGGGAAAGTCACAAGGTTACCAAGAAGCTAGTAACTGATTTCGTTTTATTCAAGTATGTCATTACCATCGTTTTGGTAATGACTAAGAAGATGATTGTTATTCCGACCCTAGTGGTCATATCAAATTGAGTCTGATTACGTTGAGTATGTTATGTGGTTTAGAGAATCAAGTTCGATGTAACGTCTGACTTAAGACAAAAGATTGAAATAAAAAGAGATCAGTAGAGGTATCAAGAAAGTTTGCTTGTAGCTAGAAATGCTACCTTTTAAGATGTGGTTAGAACATGAAGGAAGGTATAGTTTGTTATGGAATTTGACTCTAAAAGACCTGTGTCCAAGCGATGCATCATACGATGAGACGTCATTAGAACATGACCCACCAGTCTATTATGATAATCGAATGAAGAAACTTATCTCAAGTTTGTTGAAAAAAGGAGTCTCCAATAAATATCGAGATCGAAATATAAAGATCATGATTGGAAGTTTAACATGAGATAGAGAGCGGGTCCAAGATCGGACACCGCCTGCAGTTAGGAAGTCTTAGAGTTAGATACTCATTCGAAGAAACATCAAAGTTATGGTTATTACTTAGGATGAAGAGATAACGTATCGAGTCATCATGTGAATCATGTTTCGTTGATGATTCTGGGACGTAATCATCCTAAGGGGGA